ACTGGCCAATAAAAAGAGAAGATTAAGATGAGCAAAAGAACACTGGACTTTTTCTTTGACGTTGCTAGATAGCCAAAGATAACCAATCTAAAAACAGCTTAAATTCTTGCTACTATTGAGAGTAAGAATAGTATAATACACAAGGTGCAATTCCGACATTTGGTTGTGCATCAGCATTTTTTCTTTTGTTATGTCAGTCACTCAATTACCCATGTCAGCTAACAATTTTTTGATTGGTAAATTAGTCTAGTCAGTTATCTACATTTATAGTACTCATAGCCGAATACCCACCAGGCATGTGGGTCACTCTCATTCAGATATTATATTAACATGGCATAAGTCATGGCAAAATGTGTAGAATTACAGGAAATTCGCTTCAAAACAGAAACAAATGATCTCCCCTCAATGGTAAAATGGGTAGAATTGCAGGAAATTAGCTATAAAACTAAAAACAATTCTCTCTGCCCCATGGCAAAATGAGAAGAATTGCTTGAAATGTGTTATACAATTGCAACATTTTCTCATTGCCCCATGGCAAAATGTGTAGAATTGCAGGAAATTAACTTTTAAACTAAAATATTTTCCTCCACTGTCAAGACAGGGGCCACTAAACATGTTTGCTGCTTGGTGGGGGGCCTCCCAACCAAATCTCGCTTAGTGCCCCCAAAAGGCTAGGTCCAGTCCTGGTTTTAGGGGTCTGGCTCCTGCATAGTTTGATGGACCAGGCTAGTGACTACCATAGATGTCAGGGGGAGGAAGGTTCTGATTGGGAGGCATCTGATGATAAACCAACCACACTCTTTGTATGGCAAGGCTTGTTTAATGTTTTATATTAAGACAAAATCACATTACATATGCAATCTCAGGCCTAACATACAATACTGAACATAAATAACACAAAATGAAGTGCATTTTGGGGGACATGATCTCAAGCTACTGTAAAATACAATTTTCAACAATGTTTTCCACATAGAATATAATCAAAAGTAAACTACAATTTAATTGTAATTGTAATGAAATAAATTAAAATATATTATAAAAAGGCTTTTGCACATCATCCCTCAGATAGAAATGTACAAAATATTTCCAAAGAATTCATGTAAAATATATTGTACTACAATGTGGTACTGTTTTTAGTTTACATATCATGCTGCTAATGAAAATAAAAAATTGTAATCAAGCAATGGTATTTGAAATCCGATGCCAATCATTAATTTGACAAAAGTGGTTATCAGCAACACATATGCTACAGGTAATCCAACATAAATAAAAAGTGTATTCGCCATAATATCAGTATGCTATATTGTTCTGTGATATCCTCTATGCTATAATATTATGTATTACATTATGTGAACTGTGAAGTGTTAGATAGTCTGATGAAATGTGAGCTCATGCTTTGTAATAAAGTGTTACTCTACAGTAAAGTGATGTTATCGGATTACTTTGGCTTATAAAATAGTAAGCTATATTGTGATCCAGTTGCAACTTGACTATTAGCACATACAGTATGTGATACCCAAATTCCAATGAGCAAAACTATCTGAAGCACAATCAAAGTTTTGCTTCCCTTTACAACAATAAACCAAAATGTACCATTGTGAGATGCAGACAGGGTTTTATATGTTGATTCATGATAATAGCCTACATGACAAAAAAATATATATATATATACAGTGGGGAGAACAAGTATTTGATACACTGCCGATTTTGCAGGTTTTCCTACTTACAAAGCATGTAGAGGTCTGTCATTTTTATCATAGGTACACTTCAACTGTGAGAGACGGAATCTAAAACAAAAATCCAGAAAATCACATTGTATGATTTTTAAGTAATTAATTTGCATTTTATTGCATGACATAAGTATTTGATACATCAGAAAAGCAGAACTTAATATTTGGTACAGAAACCTTTGTTTGCAAATACAGAGATCATACGTTTCCTGTAGGTCTTGACCAGGTTTGCACACACTGCAGCAGGGATTTTGGCCCACTCCTCCATACAAACCTTCTCCAGATCCTTCAGGTTTCGGGGCTGTCGCTGGGCAATACAGACTTTCAGCTCCCTCCAAATATTTTCTATTGGGTTCAGGTCTGGAGACTGGCTAGGCCACTCCAGGACCTTGAGATGCTTCTTACGGAGCCACTCCTTAGTTGCCCTGGCTGTGTGTTTCGGGTCGTTGTCATGTTGGAAGACCCAGCCACGACCCATCTTCAATGCTCTTACTGAGGGAAGGAGGTTGTTGGCCAAGATCTCGCGATACATGGCGCCATCCATCCTCCCCTCAATACGGTGCAGTCGTCCTGTCTCCTTTGCAGAAAAGCATCCCCAAAGAATGATGTTTCCACCTCCATGCTTCACGGTTGGGATGGTGTTCTTGGGGTTGTACTCATCCTTCTTCTTCCTCCAAACACGGTGAGTGGAGTTTAGACCAAAAAGCTCTATTTTTGTCTCATCAGACCACATGACCTTCTCCCATTCCTCCTCTGGATCATCCAGATGGTCATTGGCAAACTTCAGACGGGCCTGGACATGCGCTGGCTTGAGCAGGGGGACCTTGCGTGCGCTGCAGGATTTTAATCCATGACGGCGTAGTGTGTTACTAATGGTTTTCTTTGAGACTGTGGTCCCAGCTCTCTTCAGGTCATTGACCAGGTCCTGCCGTGTAGTTCTGGGCTGATCCCTCACCTTCCTCATGATCATTGATGCCCCACGAGGTGAGATCTTGCATGGAGCCCCAGACCGAGGGTGATTGACCGTCATCATGAACTTCTTCCATTTTCTAATAATTGCGCCAACAGTTGTTGCCTTCTCACCAAGCTGCTTGCCTATTGTCCTGTAGCCCATCCCAGCCTTGTGCAGGTCTACAATTTTATCCCTGATGTCCTTACACAGCTCTCTGGTCTTGGCCATTGTGGAGAGGTTGGAGTTTGTTTGATTGAGTGTGTGGACAGTTGTCTTTTATACAGGTAACGAGTTCAAACAGGTGCAGTTAATACAGGTAATGAGTGGAGAACAGGAGGGCAAATTAATTACTTAAAAATCATACAATGTGATTTTCTGGATTTTTGTTTTAGATTCCGTCTCTCACAGTTGAAGTGTACCTATGATAAAAATTACAGACCTCTACATGCTTTGTAAGTAGGAACCTGCAAAATCGGCAGTGTATCAAATACTTGTTCTCCCCACTGTATATATATATAATGAAAAAATTACAAAATAATAAGTGGTGAAAAATTGCTGTGGGCATGTGGAATGCTGACATATGTAAAGGAGGACGGCTAGTGGCAGGTAGCTTAGTGGTTAAGAGCGTTGTGCCAGTAACCGAAAGGTCGCTGGTTCTAATCCCAGAGCCGACTAGGTGAAAAATCTGTCGATGTGCCCTTGAGCAAGGCACTTAACCCTAATTGCTCCTGTAAGTCGCTCTGGATAAGAGCATCTGCTAAATGACTAAAATGTCAAATGTAAGGACGCCTTCTGTTTGCAGAATACTGCTACAGTCTTCAGCTAATCATTTCATGTTCATTGCAAAGGTTTTCATTACTCTCGCTCATGCTGTCTACATTCCCCATAGCTCCTCTAATCCCCCAGTCTTGTCTTCAGCACACACTGTGTTGTCTGTGTTATGCCACTCTGAATTAATCACAGAAATTCCCAACCCACATGATGTGGATATGAGCATCTTAACGTGGGAAAGGCTGACATAGAAACCATACTTGTGCTACGAGGCTTGTTGGCAGTTGTAAGAGAAAAACCGTTTAATATTGTGGGGCATTCTGAAAATAAGCAAATAAATAAGGAAATAAAATGATTAGACATAAAACATACAACCTCACTGTACTCAAACAATCATATACAGTAAAATATTACCTATAGTACCACATGATACCAACAAAGACATACAAGTTCAGGCATTAGTTAAATGTGTATAGTGTATCACTGTCCATGGAGACAGCTGAACTTAAGCCATGTTCTTTACATTTTCCTTTTAGCAAATAGCAACCATCATAAATACATCCCTATTGGCCCTAGAGTATTTCTATTGTTAGATATTCAAGGTACAGTCAGTGTGCCCATAATGACATAGTCCAACACGGAAGGCTAAGTGGCTGAACCCTGAAGGCACGTTGGATTAGGCCAGATATTGTCATTTCTATAACTGATATGATGCTTGTTTGTACAATAAACCTTTTCATAACAATATCATAGCAATTCCCTCTCAAAAGTCACAATGTCCCCAAATGTGAACCTGTCATATCATACCAGATTACAATCTTTCCATCAAGAACCATCATCATATGTAGCAAGACTGGGCAAAACAGATAAAGCACGCTGAATAATTTGGTACAAAAAAAGAAAAACCGTCGAGATAAAAGACACATTTGTGAGGAAATACAAGCACTACTGTCTGGAATAGTGCAATGAAGGGATGCCATAATCTTGAAGCATGCCATTGTATTATACACACAAAAAGGACTGCAGTGCAATCAAATCAACACATTACAATACAATACAATCAAATGTCAATGTCTGTGACATAAACCTTTGTTTTTTAAACTGTGTAGGGATATTCTTGTCTCTAAGCAACTCATTTGGCAGCAAAGGAAATAGAAGTGTACAGTGTGTGCTTGACCCACTAAATGCAGGCATAAACATCTCTACAATCAAAGCTCAAATCATTAAGACATATCAACTGTAATGCAAAAATAAATTAAAACGTGATATCATTCCCCCCCAGTCCAATGGATGCAGTGGTTGAAATAATGGCTCCATGTGAATGACTGATATCATGTTGACAAAATTCCTCACTCAATGTAAATACATTATAGACAAGCCAGCCAATGCACACATCTAGTCCATGGGGACATCTCCCTAGTCCCCATTTACACATTATTCATTCATCACTCATCATCATCAAAGAAAGCCTTGCCTTCACACAGCGAAGAGCAATGGGCACACCTCTGCCCAGTACCAAAATGTGAATGTCCAATTAGATGAAATTAGATGAACCACTCCTTCTTGCTCTCATCGATGGTTTCTGTGAAGGCAGGATCATTGACAATGATGGCTGCATCGGCACAGTCCGCAGACTCCGCCCCTTTGGCCTCATTGGTGTGGTAGGAGCCCTTGTGACGGAACATATGGCGAATCAGGAACACCAGGGTGCAGAGGATGATGAAGATGACCACAGCAATGATACCTGCAAGTACAAAGGACATTATGAGGAACATTACCTTTAAAAACATCAACAAACCTGTATAGTAGGCGAGTTGATTACTGCTCCTACTCACCTCCGATAACTGCAGAGTTCTGATCAACTCCATCCCGGCTAACTCTTTCCTCATTGAATGGGAATACAGCACCAGCTGAAAAAGTAAACAAAAACTGATTTCAACTACAAAATATCTCCAACCCAAAATAATCCAACAACGCAAAAAAATGTAAATGCTCTAACACAGAGACAGAATATGTAAATTGTAAACTGGCACACTTTGACATTTGACAAAAAAAACAGGACAGGAGATATACAGTCGTGGTCAAACGTTTTGAGAATGACACAAATATTAATTTTCACAAAGTCTCAGTTTTTATGATGGCAATTTGTATATACTCCAGAATGTTATGAAGAGTGATCAGATGAATTGCAATTAATTGCAAAGTCCCTCTTTGCCATGAAAATGAACTTAATCCCCAAAATACATTTCCACTGCATTTCAGCCCTGCCACAAAAGGATCAGCTGACATCATGTCAGTGATTCTCTCGTTAACACAGGTGAGAGTGTTGACGAGGACAAGGCTGGAGATCACTCTGTCATGCTGATTGAGTTAGAATAACAGACTGGAAGCTTTAAAAGGAGGGTGGTGCTTGAAATAATTGTTCTTCCTTTGTTAACCATGGTTACCTGCAAGGAAACATGTGCCGTCATCATTGCTTTGCACAAAAAGGGCTTCACAGGCAAGGATATTGCTGCTAGTAAGATTGCATCTAAATCAACCATTTATCGGATCATCAAGAACTTCAAGGAGAGAGGTTCAATTGTTGTGAAGAAGGCGTCAGGGCGCCCAGGAAAGTCCAGTAAGCGCCAGGACCGTCTCCTAAAGTTGATTCAGCTGCGGGATCGGGGCACCACCAGTGCAGAGCTTGCTCAGGAATGGCAGCAGGCAGGTGAGAGTGCATCTGCACGCACAGTTAAGCGAAGACTTTTGGAGGATGGCCTGGTGTCAAGAAGGGAAGCGAGGAAGCCACTTCTCTCCAGGAAAAACATCAGGGACAGACTGATATTCTGCAAAAGGTACAGGGATTGGACTGCTGAGGACTGGGGTAAAGTCATTTTCTCTGATGAATCCCCTTTCCGATTGTTTGGGGCATCCGGAAAAAAGCTTGTCCAGAGAAGACAAGGTGAGCGCTACCATCAGTCCTGTGTCCAACAGTAAAGCATCCTGAGACCATTCATGTGTGGGGTTGCTTCTCAGCCAAGGGAGTGGGCTCACTCACAATTTTGCCTAAGAACACAGCCATGAATAAAGAATGGTACCAACACATCCTCAGAGAGCAACTTCTCCCAACCATCCAAGAACAGTTTGGTGACGAACAATGCCTTTTCCAGCATGATGGAGCACCTTGCCATAAGGCAAAAGTGATAACTAAGTGGCTTGGGGAACAAAACATCAACATTTTGGGTCCATGGCCAGGAAACTCCCCAGACCTTAATCCCATTGAGAACTTGTGGTCAATCCTCAAGAGGCGGGTGGACAAACAAAAACCCACAAATTCTGACAAACTCCAAGAATTGATTATGCAAGAATGGGCTGCCATCAGTCAGGATGTGGCCCAGAAGTTAATTGACAGCATGCCAGGGCGGATTGTAGAGGTCTTGAAAAAGAAGGGTCAACACTGCAAATATTGACTCTTTGCATAAACTTAATGTAATTGTCAATAAAAGCCTTTGACACTTATGGAATGCTTGTAATTATACTTCAGTATACCATAGTAACATCTGACAAAAATATCTAAAAACACTGATGCAGCAAACTTTGTGAAGGCCAATACTTGTGCCAGGCTCTATCGTAGCCGGCCGCGACTGGGAGACCCACGGGGGCGTCGCGCAATTGGCCCAGCGTCGTCCAGGGTAGGGGAGGGAATGGCCAGCAGGGATGTAGCTCAGTTGGTAGAGCATGGTGTTTGCAACGCCAGGGTTGTGGGTATGAAAAAATGAATAATGTATGCACTAACTGTAAGTCGCTCTGGATAAGAGCGTCTGCTAAATGACTAAAAATGTAAATGTAAAAAAAAATTCTCACAACTTTTGACCATGACTGTTCACTGAGTATACAAAACATTAAGAACACCTGCTCTTTCCATGACAGACTGACCAGGTGAATCCAGGTGAAAGCTATGATCCCTTATTGATGTCACTTGTTAAATCCACTTCAATTAGTGTAGATGAAGGGGAGAAGACAGATTAAAGAAGGATTTTTAAGCTTTGAGACAATTGAAACATGGATTGTATATGTGTGCCATTCAGAAGGTGAATGGGAAGACAAAAAACATAAGTGCCTTTGAACGGGGTATGGTACTAAGTGCCAGGCGCACTGGTTTGTGTCAAGAACTGCAATGCTGCTGGGGTTTTCACGCTCGTCAGTTTCCCGTGTGTATCAAGAATGGTCCACCACCCAAAGGACATCCAGCCAACTTGACACAACTGTGGGAAGCATTGGAGTCAACATGGGCCAGCATCCCTGTGGAACGCTTTCGACACCTTGTAGAGTCCATGCCCCAACGAATTGAGGCTGTTCTGAGGGCAAAAGGGGGAGAGGGGTGCAACTCAATATTAGGAAGGTGTTGCTAATGCTTGGTATACTCAGTGTATATAGCATGCAGTATATGCACAGTATGTGAGTCTGTGAGGGAAGTAGGTGTGAGCTGAGAGGGGCAGTCTGCTCTTTACAGCTGACATCTCTGTGGGCACTGTAGTCCATTTGAGTGGATCCTGCAGAATCCGGGAAAATCCCTCATCACCCCCCCAAAACACACACACGCACACACATTTGAGTCATTTAGCGGACGCTCTTATCCAGAGCGACAAACAGTTAGTGCATTCATCTTAAGATAGCTAGGTGGGACAACCACACATCACAGTCATAGTAAATACATTTTTCTTCAATAAAATAGCTATCAGCAAAGTCAGAGCTAGTAGGGGGAAAATCAAGTGCAAGTGTTAGTTCACGAAAGGCTTTGTGGTGTGTTTTTTTTTTTTTTTCACGTACACACACACGTACATGCACACGCAGTGGAGCAGGGATCCCAGATGCCTCACAGGGAGCTTACAAAGGCTGATCTGTCGCCTTTGGAGCAGCTGATCTGTCGCCTTTGGAGCAGCTGATCTGTCGCCTTTGGAGCAGCTGATCTGTCGCCTTTGGAGCACTATGGCTCAGATCAAATGATAAAAAGATTCTCCCTCTTATTCTCTTAGTGGTGTAAAAATCTATAACTGAAAAGATCAACCCACTACCTCCATTAGGACTAGCTGTGGGACAACTGAACTTGTTCATATTAATCCTTACGAAAGCAGTACCACTAAAACAATTTATCTGACCTATTGAAACCTCACATATGCCTCCATAGGTTAAACATGCAGCATAGTCACTGAGAGATGGAATTTCATACCCTAGTACAGGGCAGACCATTCTCAGAGCAGGCAGGAGATAGATCTTGTGTTTCCTCTCATGTATCTTGAAAAGCTCACCCAGGATCAATACACTGACCCAGTAATAACCACCCTGTAGAGCTATCCGCAGGAGCTAAACAGCACAGCACATGGGTTTAAAATGGTACAATATCTGGAGAAGAAGAAAAATACTACCATTAAATATAACATCTTGAAGTTATAATGAAATATCAGATCTCTTTGGAGAACTGAGTGGACCGCTGGTGCTGCCAGTTGAACGCTGACAATTCATCTACTGTACATACTGTAAAGGCCTTACAGTGCTTACCGTAAAAATGCAGTATTCAAAATGATGGAACAAGACATAAAACCACAATAATTCAATAGAATAGAATCAAATCCCATGATACAGTATGAATAAATGGTTCCATTGGCCGGACAATCAAAGGGGATAGATTGAGACACAGTGATTTACTGTACCTGAGTCCATGTGCCAGGGGTCATTGGCAGCAGCCATGGGTGAGATGGTGAGAGGAGACGACCCGCAGTTGGACTCCACTAGAATGCCCTGGGTGGTCACCGGGGCGACGATGCCAGACCTCAGCGCTGCCTTCAGAGGGGCGATGTTGTTGAAATTAACTCTGGACAGACAGCCCACGAACCCTGGGGTGTTGTACTTCTCTATGAGGACTGGGTCAATCTGGCCAGTTTCTGATCAAAACCAAGACAAATTCAATAAAAACATAACAGTAGTTCTGGATTAGATAGGAGCTCTTCCTCATGGTATCCCTGTCAACCTATGTAAAATATATAGGCCTTGAGCGTATCAGTGCACAGTAGAGCTTTATCATCTTGTGCTTGTGTGGAGCTGCTGACTGATGCTGCCTGATCACTTAATACTGGTCTACCACCACGATGCACTACTACTCAGCACACTGCAATACTGTAAGCCTCCCCAGTTTGATTTATGTTCACTGGTTGGTGATACTGTATTCCCTATCCCTAGTCTCCTCCTACATTACAGACAGGCAACTACTGTACAAGCTCCTACTGCAGATATATACTCCCAATAGACCAGGGAAAACAAAGTATCCAATTCTACTGCAATATAATATTCTCCAAAGGCAGCTAAAGAAAAGTAATTTCACAATTTTAAGGTTACATGTAAGAAGGATGTTTCATATGCCACCCAGTTAAAAAATACAAAACACACCCTGTTTGGAACATTAGCCATGCATTGCGCCATACATGATCTTTACTTTTGAGAACACATCCCAATTTTTACAGAAAGAAAATTCACCATCTTAAACCAATGATGAAGCTACAGTAGCAAGGTTTGTTAAAAGCAACAGTACAGTATATCCTGTATAGGAAATGACAATCTAAAACAAATCTTGCAACCACAAATCACAAGGTCAAGGTTTACAATAAGTCCTCCCCAATACCTATGTATTTAGTGTAGTTACAGTTATGTTGTTTTCTAAAACACTATGCCACCTCAAGTTAGTAAAATACAGAAGAGTATTACCTGTTTGCCTTGTTGTCCTCCCTAAATGTAGTGCTGCTTACTCTGCCCCTACCTTGCAGACCCTCTATCCAGAGCACAAGTCCTTGCCTTATACAGTGCTACCACTGCCCGCTATACACCTGTCTGTCTGTCTGTCTGTCTGTCTGTCTGTCTGTCTGTCTGTCTGTCTGTCTGTCTGTCTGTCTGTCTGTCTGTCTGTCTGTCTGTCTGTCTGTCTGTCTGTCTGTCTGTCTGTCAGTCAGTCAGTCAGTCAGTCAGTCAGTCAGTCAGTCAGTCAGTCAGTCAGTCAGTCAGTCAGTCAGTCAGTCAGGTCAGTCAGGTCAGTCAGGTCAGTCAGTCACCAGGTCCATTTACCTCTGTATCTGCCTCGCTGTCTTCCTGCCAGCTAGTAGTATTTTTGTCTTCCTGCCAATACGTCTATCAATCTCTCTGTCTGTTTTCCTGTGTCTACGTGCCTGCAGCCTTGGTTAGCCAGCGAGCTCTGAATGTGAATACACCCCGAGTGATTCAGTCCAACTCCTTTCCCTACCTTCCCCACAGCCAGACCAGATAAAACATGGAGAAAAGATGATGTCATGGATCAGTGAGCTAATACATTCACAGACAGAGCGAGGCTCAGAGAAAACCTGGATGTGCGTACAGGAGTACAGGATGGGGATCAGGACCGGGCCTCTGTACTCCCTCCCTCCCTGAGGATGATGTCAGAGATCTGTGGGTCTGTTAATTTATTCACAGAGTGCAGCAGCAAAGCACTCTGGGGAGTCGTAAGACTTTACCAGCCAGGCAGAATGGGGCATTCTACTGTTCTCAGAACAGGACCAGTGTACTGGTGTCTGACTCCTGCTGACGCAGTACTGCTCCCTCCCTGTGCGGAAATCACACACGCCACACCACGCCACGCCACATCACATTATTCTAGTTCCTATTCTATCCCTCCTCCGGTTCCAGTATGCTGACGTATTGATGGCTGCAGCAGTGTGGTTCCTGATGGCCCTATGATCCAGACTTTATTATCCTGCATTTATCTGAGTGGTGTGGGGAGGTGTACTACATCAGTCAGACAAAGACAAAGGCCTAGACAAGGCCTATTGTAACATTGTTCAATATGGCCACTAAAATACATGTACATGTCTTTGTATCAAAACATGATTTTCTGTCAAGGCAACATCACCTTTACCATCTATATTGATTAACTCATTACATATATTAATACACCTGGACTAAACCAGGACTAATCCATTTTGAGCCATGGATGGGCAACAAAAATTATGGTTCTGTGTTTTATCAGAACACACAGAACCAAAGTCCTAAAATCACTTAGGGGCAAATTCTAAGAGATCTGTACACATAACTCTTACTTCCGCATAAATAAAATACATTGATTCCAAGCATTAAATGGCATTTATTATATTTGCACTCCAGTAATACATGGATTATATCGGCACTTACCAAAAACTTTCCCCAGGAATATGGTCTTGACCAGGTTGAACTGAGTGTCAGAGCCATCAGGCAGAGTGTAGCTGACTGGGGGGTAATGATCCAACTGGAAAATAACACCATATGGTCATGAATCATGATATATTACAGTCAGTTATAAACCCAGCATAGCTGTATTGTATTGTTAATTACTACCCCCTAGTGGTGGATTTTAGAGAGTATATTTCTGAAAATCGTAGTTAATGCCAGTGTACAGTATCATTCATTAGCCAAGATACACAAACAGATTCAAAACTGTGCTAAAAGCATAATGCACTACAAACCACCACAGAAAAGGGGGGTCAGGTGTGTTGTCAACAGCCTAATGCAGTCTGAGAGGACACATCAAATCCCTCTCACTGAGAGTGGTGTCCTCCCCTCCTGATAGCAGAGCACTAGAGTCCTACCTTTGAACTGCTTTAGGAAAAGTGCTATATCTATAGTCTATGTAGCTATCAAACAGCCTAATGTAGTCTGGGAGGACAGGGAAAGTGACATCAGCAAATATCTCACTGAGAGCAGTGCCTTCCCCGGGACTCAAGTAGAACATTAAAGTCCTACCTTTCAACTGCTTGATGAAAATTGTTCTTTAAATAAAGCTGTATCATTTATATGATTTTTACCTGCAGCCTAATGTAGTCTGAGAGGAAATACTTTTTTGGGGGGGGAATTTCATGACTTCGGCAAATCCCACTGTGTGATAGATCACCCTTTGTGATAAGGGAGCACTAGGGTCATACTGCACCTGCAGCTGGAAAAGTGCTTAAAAGAGATATAAAGCCACATCATTTGTTATCATTATTATTACCTGCAGCCGTATGTTCCTCTCCTGCCTGGAGATATTGATGTGGTGGGGCTGCCCGTTGGCCATGTTGCGGTGGTCCAGGTTGATGGTGAACGGCTCCCTCAGGCCTCCAAGGCTGTAGCGGATCTGAAGTGTTCCTGACAGAGGGAGATGTCAGTCCTAATGTTCCATCACCATCGTAATTCATATGGTTGTCAGTCCATATTCTGATAGGCTTAGTAACATGGTAAGAGTATCAAACTTTAAGTGGCAATTGTATTTTACATGATGCTTTACATTGCCAAAATACTAAATTGACTATCACTCTCTCTTTCTGCTTTTTCAGTGATGTATGTGTGCCCGGGACCATGCCCAACCTTTGCATTGCACTATATAATTAGCTATTGAGCTAATTTACAGTACATTCTGTGGTTCTTTGCTGACATAGCCATTAACTTCACCCTCCAAGCGTTTCAAACCCTATAAACGGAGGCCAGGGTTGCTCTCTTGTTCTTTCAAGCATTTCAAACCCTTTGAGCAGTTTCTCTCTTACCATTGTGTCTGAGCACCACAGCCAGGTAGTCCTGGGTCCTGGAGCTGATGTAGACCAGGATGCTTGGGGCGTTGGAGGTGCTGAAGCTGAACACCAGCTCCTCCTGGGTCAGGTTGCCCTCCGTGGGCAGCAGGGGAGACAGGCTCTTCACATCCCTGATGGCTGGAAGGCCCCCCTCGGGAAGGAAGTCGTAACGAACTAGTGTTCCACTCTCAAAGAAGCCGCCCACATCTGATACACACAGAAGACACAAGGTAGCAATACAAAACATCAGCATAAGTTTGAGAGATTGACAAGCAAATCGATATTAGCCTCCCTAAAGCACAGTGTAAAGTTATAGTTGAACCACAGTGTAAAGTTATAGTTGAATCACAGTGTAAAGTTACAGTTGAACCACAGTGTAAAGTTATAGTTGAACCACAGTGTAAAGTTATAGTTGAACCACAGATTAAAGTTATAGTTGAACCACAGTGTAAAGTTATAGTTGAACCACAGTGTAAAGTTATAGTTGAACCACAGTGTAAAGTTATAGTTAAACCACAGATTAAAGTTATAGTTGAACCACAGTGTAAAGTTATAATTGAACCACATATTAAAGTTATAGTTGAACCACAGTGTAAAGTTATAGTTGAACCACAGTGTAAAGTTATAGTTGAACCACAGTGTAAAGTTAGTTGAACCACAGTGTAAAGTTATAGTTGAACCACAGTGTAAAGTTATTGTTGAACCACAGTGTAAAGTTATAGTTGAACCACAGTGTAAAGTTATAGTTGAACCACAGTGTGAAGTTGAGAAGAAAAAAAAACTTTACTAGAGTTACTATTCTCTCACACGACTGTGACTGTATTTTACCTTCAGTGCAGAAGGGCCCGTCATAGGCAGTCAAGGTGCAGTCGCATGAGTAACCGTTGTATTTCTCCATGCACTTGCCACCGTTTCTGCAGTGCTGCCCATAGCTGGTGCAGTGGCCAGAGCAGCCAGGCTTAACCCCTGGGGTGACCTTCGCCCTCTCCTCCAGGTCAAGGGTCACACCGTTCATCTTCAGGGCACGGATACATCCTAGGAACCCCCTTTGGCCACCTGATGCACCTGAATGATAACGTTTATGACAAGAAGAACTCATATTAGATATTTTGGTTTACAACAACTGTTATGTTACAAAGTACACTTCTGGTAAAAAAATGAACAAACAGGTAAACTCATCCTAAACTCAAGTTTTTTGACTTGTTAGTTGTTGACTTGACATCCTTATACCTTTTGACATTGTTGTTGTGTGCAATGTGAAAACTGCGTGGGCCTGTATCCGACAGTGCTGCCTGTATAAGTCGGGTCATAACACCATGAGCTGAGCAGCAGTAGTCTAACTCACATAAACATATAAACCGGATCATCATTACGCTATGTGGTGGGAGGCAGGTAAGCAGGATATCTTACCCACGTAGAGCTGGCTGTATAGCTCCAGGCGGGTGTGACCCTGTGGGGGCGCAGGGCTAACGTCCTTGTACTGCCCATCCAGCTGCAGCACGGCCTCCTTCACGTTGCGCTCAGCCACCACCCTGTGCCACTGGTCATCATTTAGAGGAGCGGACGACCTCACACTCAGCTCCACCAGACCGTTGCCCACATCAAAGGAGAAGGACACCACCGTGGCAGCTGGGCAGGAGGGGAGAAAGGGAAAGGAGTTAGAAAACAAGGTTCTGGGTGCTGCCAAACAGGCTTTGGATCGTCAGAAGTGGAGAGGTCTTGTCTCTGCCTTATGAGCAAGTGGGCACAAAGAGGATAAGTAAGTAAGAGCCTAAGTAATTATTTTTGGGTGAGAAACAACAGAATTAAGAGGTGGAAATGGGTCAAGGAGGTAGTTTTTGAAACAAGGATTAGGCTGGTGCTATACAGGAGATTTGAAAGACCTTGGTCTGTTTAGGAGTGGTTGAAAAGCTAACAAGCATTTTTACCGAAATTGAAAGTCTGCTTACCTTGACTTTTCTCATGAATGTGAAGGAAACAGTTATATAATTTACACTTTGAAATATCGTTGTTGAAATCATGATGATTTAAAAATAAGAATGTATAATTCACAGCTCTGAAAAATGTATCACTTTCCAGATATGTTTTTGACAAGTACCTATCAGCTAACACTTATAAATGCGTAAAGCAGACAGATACCTCAGGGAGTAGTGAGATAGCTCTCCCTTTCACAACGACACAGTTCGCTCATTTTCCCCTCTATCATCATTTACTTTATTGAAACCCTGTTGACATCATACCCCCTGTTGGGTCCAATTCTACAGAGACGTACGTCACATACTGACAACTTGTCTAATCACCCAACACCCTCTCCGATTGCTTAATCCACATAAATCACAGACTCCAGGCTGCCATCAAGTTATGAGATTTCACAGCGATTGTGATTGAGCGCTTTTCCACTTACCAAGGGTCTCATCCTGGACCACATTGGGAGAATCATTATTTTATTTTATTTCCCAACCGACTCAATAGATCTATATTAAAGGGAGCTGTCTGACTGCATTTGTTCTCCATTCAGAGCATGTACTGAAGCTGTGGAGATGACATGGGGAGCCTTGTCAATCATAGAGCCACCTGTTCAGAGCAGATGCTTGGCCTGCAGGACTGGCAGAGAACCTCCTGAAGCTCAGAGAGGAATTTTGGAGTGGGGCCAAGTCTCATTAAAACAACTGTCAGTGCCAAGCTCTAAAAAGAAATTCTAATGCGTACTAGTACTCTAGAGTGTTTAAAAGTGTTTAAAATACAAACGCTGACGAGGGGCTTAGTAAATCTATTTCCATTGGCAGACTAATACTGTACCTTGTAAATATTAAAATGGGGGGAAACTATTAAATATGAAATGTGTTTTTTACAGAATATTGTCTGTCTGTGTCTCCAAAGAAGAGACACTGCTTCTTTAGAGCAACTGAATCACTGTAATAATACTGCTCAAATACTGTCCACGCATTGCACCAAAAGATGGCGTCAGTAAAGCTTCAAACTTGCCAGAGAAAAAGGGTCAGAAACAATAACAACGGGTTCTGAGGCGACGGAAGCAGCTCAAAGATATTTCTGACCATTGATCTTTCCCAGCGGAAGGAAACTGCTCTCCCACCAGCTCACAAATCATGCTTAAATGTCACTGGAAACCAATTTCATCTAACAATACCATTTCCAAACAGGGTTCCCACTGTGCTGGTGAACTTTAAGTTAATACTGATTTCCAGCCATTTCTGAGTGGAGATTTCTAAAGCGCTGAAGTTGAATATAAGCTGCCAGAAGTATGGACTGCGGTCGATGAGATGGACGGCAGCCTTTATGGAGAGCCCTAGAGGTACCTTGGGAGGTTTCGCCTTCACAATGTTCTCAGACTGAGACTCTACAGTCCACACACAGGTCCCCCAAAATTCAATATCCCATCTTGTTACAGTCCCCAAGAGCTGACTGAGGAGCTGTAGTAAGAACTGAATGGTGTTTTACAGTAGCTCTCAGGGAACATGGCAGGTGACAATTGCTTAGTGGCTGGTGGTTTGTTTTTAGTAGGAACAAGAGATTCTTGTTTTGTGGCCACAAGACAGACAAGATCCTTTTCACATAGTGGAAAGTCTTAGTGGAAAGTCGAAGTCGATATCTACTGTGAATAAGCCTTACCAACACTGTCCAAAACCACTGAATTTATACTGCATCTATACATTATATATTGTAATGGGATAATGTTTTACAGATGTGGACCCAGAGCTTTGATATTGAACTGCACACACACACATCCATAATATAAGTCTACAGGTAGTGTATATCGACCGGTTACTGAGTAGTGGTATACTCACCTTTTAGTTCCAGGCGGATGAAGTCAGCGTTGCCAAGGTTCTCCAGAAAAACGCCATAAGAGGAGGAAGTCTTGAAATAGAAAGAGATGTCAGCACTGGTCTCTCCTTGGAAGGTAGGGAAGTGCAGGTAGGATGCAGGCGTGTTGAAGGATGCTGCGTTCCAGTAGTTACCTGGGAAACACAGGAAACATGAATCACTCAGTGTGTTGCCTATCTACATCACCGATTGTGCATTCTAATCATACAAAGCAGAGAATAATGGCCCAAAAATACTACCATAGGTTTGGAAATGATAACAAACTCACCATCTCCTTGACAACGCAGTGGACCCACAGTCAATTTAGCCTCAGAACCAGCACGATTAGTGTCACCAACCACCACCTGACTCACAGGCAAATGGTCTTTATACACCAGGAGACCAGCGTCCTCTCTCCTAAATTAAAAATAAATAAAATGTGTGAGATACAGAGGAATATTTTCACTACAAAAGGCACAACTGCAAAAATCTCTGAAGCTGGAGACTCTTATCTCCCTCACTAACTTTAAGCTTCAGTTGTCAGAGCACCTTACCGATCACTGCACTTGTACACAGCCCATCTGAAATTAGCCCACCCAACTACCTCATCCCCATATTGTTATTTATTTTGCTCATTTGCACCCCAGTATCTCTATTTGCACATCATCTTTTGCACATCTATCATTCCAGTGTTAATATGAAATTGTAACTATTTTGCACTATGGCCTATTTATTGCCTTACCTCCATAACTTACTATAATATAATAATAATAATATGCCATTTAGCAGACGCTTTTATCCAAAGCGACTTACAGTCATGCGTAAATAATTTTTTTTTTTTTTTTGTGTATGGGTGGTCCCGGGGATCGAACCCACTACCCTGGCGTTAAAAGCGCCGTGCTCTACCAGCTGAGCTACAGAGGACCACTTACTACATTCGCACACACTGTATATAGATTTTCTGTTTGTATTTTTGACTTTATGTTTTTTACCCCATATGTAACTCTGTGTTGTTGTTTTTATTGCACTGCTTTGCTTTATCTTGGCCAGGTCGCAGTTGTAAATGAGAACTTGTTCTCAACTGGCTTACCTGGTTAATTAAAGGTGAAATAAAATAAAAATAAAAAACAGTACGATTGTAAAATGTTCTTTGTGCTACAACGTATTACGTCTTGATTAATTTCATGATGACATTTCAGGATAACTCGATCTAGCTTAGATTTTAATACTGTAACATTTAATCTATGGTTTTGTTTAGAGTTCAATCACTCACCACCGCGTTTGGTCAGCGTCACAGTTGCAGTAGTACTTTGGGTCGGTGCAGTTCCTCTCGATTCCACAGGCACACTTCTTGATCCCTGGGCCTGAACCACCCCAGTAAAAATGCTTCTCATTGGCCCTGCCAACCCACCATGTGAATGGAGATCTCTCTGCAAAATAACAACAGCATGAATCATACCAAAACAACAAAATACTCAATACATAAGCATGATGATATTATTTGTGTATATCTACAGTAAACAAATTACCATAGATAGTCTAAGCAGTTGTTTTCCGTTTACGCTTCTCTACTGGTACACAGACAATAACATGCTACCTTTGCTGATGTCAAACTCTCATTGCAAATAGCCTTGAAATTGAGATTAAGAGTCTATTGATGCATATTGATGAATACGTCAGATGCCATAAACTGCTTATGTTATGTACAATCCTATGTTTAGATCCTTAAACAAGTGTAACCAGCTGATCCATTTTCCTTCACGCCATTTGACACTTTACTTTTTTATTGATTGAGACAAGCTATGTGGTCTATTAATCAGCTATTCACCCTGTTCCACCCCCGCACCAATAGCAGCACAGACAGATAGTGTTATTCAGCACTCCAGGTAATCAAAAATGACTCGCTCTAGGGAACGGGAAAATAACTGGTGTGAGGAATCAAGTGGAACTGTCTGTTTGTATAGATGGACAAACAAGATCATTTATCAAGACAAACACTCCCCAGGGCATTTGTTCTTGTTCAACATCATACTGACTACTGTAGCATCTCTGAACAACTTTAAAATGCACTCTTGTGTTTTGCTGTTTACAATGTGAATTATGCTTTTGAATTTTCAAGTAGTCAAACAATGGGCATGCTTAACAATAAGCAGTGGGAAAAAACAATGTTTACACAACGGTAATTTGGGAAAGACAAGAAAATAAAATTTAATTAGCTATTTTCAATTTTGGCATTGTTACTTATCAGCAGCACCTGGTTGAATTTGCCCTTCAGTGAATGACAAATAATAATATTATGAAAAATAATAATTGGTTGCTAGTACATTATTGAAGGGGTCTGTTATCAAGCCACTGACAGTGAAACGTTTATGCAGTGTTTACATCAATGGGGAAATAATAGTGGAAGGACAATGGGACTGCTGTTTCTAGCAACAGGGGTGGTCTGTTCATCACACGCCTCAGATATCGCCTAAAAATGTTTCAGTAAAAGCCAGGGGGACACAGAGTGAGGCGGTGAGGCTCCAGGGAGAGAACAAAGGCTGTTACACTGGCTGTTCCCCTGCAAGGTACCCATGTTCCACACTGGTCCACATGCAGGGGAGAGAGAGGGGGGGGGAGAGAGAAGGGGGGGAGATGGAGAGAGAGAGACAGAGATACTGGGGTAGATCGAAAGAGGAGGATGGATAGAGCGAGAGGAAGAGAGATTGAGGGGAGCAGTATGGACGATTGTGGGGTTCTGGGTATTCCCTGGCTATAGTGTAATCAATAATTCAGGTTCTTTATGGTGATGAGAGGCAGACAGGCTAAGATGAGGGCCTGGAGGCCAAGTGTCTCCCCTCTGTGTGAGGGGAGAGGCATACCAGCAGGGGTGATACTGGGAGGTAGAGTAAGCTTCTATTCCTCAATACTGGATGAATGGGCACCACTGGGGCCAACACAATAAGACTACCATATGAGGGAGAGGTACTACCGCCGACCAGCAGCTCTGACCAGGAATTTCTGACTCCTCATCTCTTTCAGCTCACTGATCCTGCCAACAATGCTAAATGGCTGTCGAGCGGCGAGGTGTACGGAGCACTAATGGTGTGTGGGTTTTATCTGTCAACGTCCCAGTCAGTCAGGCCTCAGATCATAACACATCCAAAGGACACGATGAAAGCTTGTTATGCTGCTCATATACACAGAGTGATGCACAAATCAGTGTCTACTCTACAGGCTGGGAGCTGGGGCTACCCTACTGCTGACAAAACCTCAGGCTCAGAACTCTATGGACCCTCAGGGAGAACGGATGTTGCTTGATAATGCCAGATGAGATAGAAATCCAACAAGGTAAAAAATAAAACACTACATTGTTGGAAGAAACTGACAAGCCTTTGGGTTCTGTGGCTGTCATGGAATTTCAGTTTTAATATTCCCTATGGTTGGCTGGAGGGAATAAACCAGTTCCATTTGTCACAGAAAGTATTCCTCAGACTCCTCTCCATGAGATGGGAAGAAAGCCACTACAATAAAAGCTCGGCTCAATTCTATGAGTAATGACAAGGGATGACAACTGCTGTGTCGCTGTCTAATGTACGCCAACTTGCCTCCAAATCAAATAGATAAGACTATTCTTCATGTGTAGCCATAATGCTAATAACAATCGGCTATACAATCTAGCAACACCTAAATAGGGGAGGGGGGGGGTACGACAATACAAATAGTCCGGGTAGCCATTTGATTAGCTGTAGCTTATGGCTTGGGGGTAGAAGCTGTTAAGAAGCCTTTTGGACCTAGACTTGGGCTCCGGTACTGCTTGCCGTGCGGTAGCAGAGAGAACAGTCTATGACTAGGGTGGCTGGAGTCTTTGACAATTTTTAGGGCCTTCCTGTGACACCACCTGGTATAGAGGTCCTGGATGGCAGGAAGCTTGGCCCCAGTGATGTACTGGGCCGTACGCACTACCCTCTATAGTGCCTTGCGGTCTGATGCCGAGCAGTTGCCATACCAGACGGTGATGCAACCAGTCAGGATGCTCTCAATGGTACAGCTGTATAACCTTTTGAGGATCTGAGGACCCATGTCAGTCTCCTGAGGGGGAATAGGCTTTGTGGTGCCACGACTGTCTTGGTGTGTTTGGACCATGATAGTTTGTTGGTGATATGGACACCAAGGAACTTGAAGCTCTCAACCTGCTCCACTACAGCCCCGTCGATGAGAATTGGGGCATGCTCGGTCCTCTTCTTTTTCCTGTAGTCCACAATCATCAAATTGGAGTGGGTCTAGGGTTTCTGCGATAATGGTGTTGATGTGAGCCATGACCAGCCTTTCAAAGCACTTCATGGCTACAGACGTGAGTGCTACGGGTCGGTAGTCATTTAGGCAGTATACCTTAGTGTTTTTGGGCACAGGGACTATGGTGGTCTGCTTGAAACATGTTGGTATTACAGACTCAGTCAGGGACAGGTTGAAAATGTCAGTGAAGACACTTGCCAGTTGGTCAGCGCATGCTCGAAGTACACATCCTGGTAATCTGTCTGGCCCTGTGGCCTTGTGAATGTTGACCTGTTTAAAGGTCTTACTCACATCGGCTATGGAGAGTGTGATCACACAGTCATCCGGAACAGCTGATGCTCTCATGCATGCTTCAGTGTTGCTTGCCTCGAAGCGAGCATAGAAGTCTGTGTGTTGAGTAAAGGTGGTCTATAGTTTTTTCCCTCTGGTTGCACATTTAACATGCTGGTAGAAAAATGGTCCCCGGCCTCTAGATGAGCATTTTCCTGTTTGCTTATGGCCTTATACATTTTTACATTTACATTTTAGTCATTTAGCAGACGCTCTTATCCAGAGCGACTTACAGGAGCAATTAGGGTTAAGTGCCTTGCTCAAGGGCACATCGACAGATTTTTCACCTAGTCAGCTCGGGGATTAGAACCAGCGACCTTTCGGTTACTGGCACAACGCTCTTAACCACTAAGCTCCCAGTCGCCCCATACAGCTCATTGAGTGCAGTCTTAGTGCCAGCATCGGTTTGTGGTGGTAAATAGACAGCTACGAAAATATAGATGAAAACTCTCTTGGTAAATAGTGTGGTCTACAGCTTATCATGAGATACTCTACCTCAGGCGAGCAAAACCTCGAGACTTCCTTAATATTAGATTTCGTGCACCAGCTGTTGTTTACAAATATATACAGACCGCCACCCTTTGTCTTACCGGAGCTGTATGTTATCCATGTCATCGTTCAGCCACGACTCGGTGAAACATAAGATATTACAGTTTTTAATGTCCTGTTGGTAGGATATCCGTGATCTTAGTTAGTCTTTTGTTATCCAATGATTGTACGTTGGCTAATAGGACTGATGGTAGAGGCAGATTACGCACATCAACAACAAACACTGGGAAGGGGAAAGAGAAGACAGCATATTCTTGCCATTTTCTCTCTCCAAATGCCTAAATTGATGTGTCTTTGTTGGAAAGGATACTACAGTTTTGCCCAAAAGAAACAGATAGTCCTAATATTCTCAGATGTACATATGACTACACAACAATTAATATACAAACACCAATGTCCTCTTTACCTGGCGTATTGAGCAGTCGAGACATTCGGCAGGCGTAGGCAACATGCTGTTCACAGTACTCCGCACTGCCCGTGATGGCTGTCACCTGTCATAGGGAGAGAAAATAGGGTTTAAGCAATGCAGAATGCATAACATTTAGTCATATTAGTGGAGCTGAGTGAAAATACAGTGAGAGAACATCTTTAATAAACAATGTAGCTAGCTAGTGCCTTCGGCTGTAACATCAAAATACATAGAAAATACATATAGGGCAGGTTTCTCTAGACTCAAAATATAGTTTCTCCATTGAGCATGTTTTAAAAAATGAAACTAGGCTTAATCCGGTTCCATTAAACCCACCGATAAAATCCAGGTTTCTTTCCCATTGAGATGGTTCCATCATGAATGGTTCAATGGGTGATGATTTCATAAGGTCATAAGGTCACCTGCTCTGTGGACATGTTGTAATTGAGCTGCAGCACAGCCTTCCCCTCCAGGTCTGAGCCACTCACTGAAGTCTGGGGAGACAGGTTGTTTCTCACTGTCGTCCACACCTTGTCCTCTGCAACACACACAGTCAACAACACCATCAACAAACCAGTCAGCCGTGTACAATATTTACAGGGGACGAATGACATGTGGGTCAGCCATGTCAGCAGTCAAAACTGGTTGCATTGACATCATTCCAACCAGATACCAGATTTGGTTGTAATCTGGTTATAATGATGTCATTTTAACAAGATTTGCCCGCTGGGATGGGACAAAATCATCAGATGCAGTATTGAGTAAGTTGATTGTCTCTTGGGTCTTATTTGGAGGTACGGTACTCTTACCAGTCATGTTGCAGTTGACTTTGAAGGGGCCAACAGGACCACTCCCATCAGGGTCGATCCAGTACGAGCCAGATGTTTTACCAAGGTGTTTGTATTCCTCACAGGACTGTTCATACACGGCTGGAGAGGAGGAATAAACACGCGAGAGAGGAAACCACATGTATTATGAAGCTGACACTGCAGTAGAATGACTTATTCATCATTATAAATCCAGGGGTTTCCCCATGTGTAAGTGAAGTGAATGATGTGCAAAAATGTGACTGACGTTTCAGATGGGTCCTTGAGGGTATGAATAATGACAGACCATAGATGAAGATGTGGAGGAGGAAGGGGAGGATACTTACAGGTATGGCATGTAGCCCCGGTGTATCCTGTCCCGTTACAGAAGCAGCTGAAACTATCCCAGGTCTGAGAGCAGCGGCCTCTATGTTCACAGTGGTTAGGGACACATCTGTGTGTGGGGGGGAGATCATTTTCATATGAAGAAGAAGCAGAAGTGACCTCTAATTTCACTACTTTGACCTTTGTGAAACTACAGATGGCACAGAAGAGGATAGATAGGACAACATAGGAATAACTTTCATAGAGTGCATATTGCAAATATAATTTACCCTAAAAAACTAACTAATTGGAAACGGATGGATACATTAATTTGGTACTTCTTCAAATCATATTCAACAAGAAGAAGACCTCTAATTGAAATACGTTGACCTTTGTGAGACAACAGAGGATGTCACTGTGGTGTCGCCGTGTCGTGACAGTAATCAGCCAACCCACGTTCTGTGAGGAGGTTCGTGACCTTTGTTTCATGTATGTTTGATACCACTTCATGGAGAACGTTAGGATGTATTACTGTACTCTCTTAGTCCTCAACCTGTGTGTCGGGTCAGGGCTTATCTCCCCAGGTGCCCAGCCTTAAACCTGCTGGTGTGATCAAAGGGCTGTGGTAATATGGAGTTCCCTTTGAAGTTAGTTGAACTCCCCCTGCTAGCATGGTTTAGAATGAGGATATCATCACCACAATCCTTAAAATTTGCACAGGGCAGAGATGTCGGAACGTTCCTATTTAATGGGAGAGAAAATCTGGTGTATCGGATAACCTTTGCCATAATAGATCAGTCAAATGAACCACACATCATGAGTATTCAGCCATAAATTGATTTATCATACGTACATATTACACAAATGTCCCTAGAACAATAATATAGTTTGATTTGACTTAGGATGTTAAGCTGAAAACAAATCCGCATGACCGTCTTGAACTTTTTTTTGCGGTCTTGAAAATGTCTCCTCTGACATTTCAAAGGGTGTCGTTAACAATTCCGGCACAAAATGTTGGATTAACAGGATCTACAGTTTTACTCCTAATCACTAGTGGAGAATAAGAAGCAGAGATAAGATTCCATTTATGAACCAGAACCATGTGTTGGAGTGAACCCACATCCTGTGAGAATAAATGTTATGTGTTTATCTTGATAAGAATGTAAGCGCATGTCCATATTCTCCTGCGATTTGAGTAACCTTCTGCTAAAATTGCATTTCCATATCTCGGGTGAAGCAACAGAGCTTTTCCACTTCATTGTTTTGATGAGTTTTGCATTGGGGATGTGTGCCTGTTTGGCTGTGTGCTTGTGTACACATGCATTTACCAGCAGGAGCACAGAGATTGCACACTAAGACATCCACTAGCAAAGCCTTGTGTGATCCTCTGATCCCTGCCTCTCGCTGTGTCCCTGTGTGAGACGCTTTCTTGATCTTGATTGGCCACCTACCGTCTTTATGAAAAGACTGTGTAATGCATGCCCATGAGCAAGCAGCCCCTCAGGTAACGTCACAGTAGGTGTTTATAGGTTCACTTTCATGATCAACAGCAAAGAAAAAAGGCTGCTTAGAATATCAAGCTCAATAAGATCTTTGGGGAATGGTATAAAAGATTACCTGTCTATGATGGCACACATATCCAGGCTGACATTCTCAAAGGTTCCCATGTTGCCTTGCTCTACCGCCACCAGGTCAGCTAGCTGGTCGTCCACGTGGATCAGCTGCATACAGCCCTGGAAGGAGCGCTGGGCAGGGGGAGTGTTGGTACGCAGGAAGTAGCCTGCATGAGGACAATAGGGAGATAGTCCCAAAGTTAATCAAGACAGCGCTTTCTGTTTGAAAAGTAAACTCTAGAGACACATTTCAAGTATTAAGCAACATTATTTCTATGAGTGTTGTGTTTTGGTTTGAATCATTAGGGAAGAGGTTCATTCAATATTTAAGACACCGTCTTAAAGGCAACTACTTCAAAGGCTAACAAAACACAAAGAAAACAAAAAGGCAACCAATCAAAAGTAACAAAGACGATTGTCTGACAAAGCATGCCATCAAACACAAAAAAACACATGTACTGTACACACAACAAATCACAAGACTGTTTGTCAGACTGAATTATGGAAATGTCATCATGAATAAGTAAGTAACAAGCCCATTACGAGGGCTTACACATTATAGACCAGGGCCCGGTTTCCCAAAAGCATCTTAAGGCTATGTTCATCATAAGAAACTCTGTAGGAGCATCGTTAAATCTCAGAGCTTTTCCGTAAAACCATCTTAACTAAAGTTGCACTTGAAAACGCTTGTTATTTAACGACTGCCTCAGACCAGCTAAGTGCGGCGTCACTTTATACACAGAAGATCTCCGCTAAACATAGAATCAGTTTACATATAGGAGCAGATCAGCATTGCACATGAGGATAAATAACAGCGTTTGGACTTCTAGAATCTTCCTCACACTGCCTGAAAGCTGCCGACTAGAAGTCGAAACGCATTGCAGATCCTCATGTACAATGCTGATCTGCTCCTATATGTCAACGTTTTTGGCTATTTATATTCAATTATGAAGTTTTCGGCAGTCACAGAGAGACAGGTAAACATCTATGTTTAGCAGAGATTTTCTATGTGTAAATTGACACAGAAGGACAAACGGTGATTTAACGATGCACTCAGCTGTTCAAGTGCAATGTTAATAAAGACGGTTTTGGGAAACGGCTCGAGAATGTAAAGATGCTCAAACGAAGGTTCTAATGATGAACTAAGCCTTAATATGCTTTTGGGAAACCAGGCCCAGAGCCATATACCGGTCCGGTATAGAGCTATATGTCTCTGTTATAGACAACCTGTGTAAATACCTCCAAAGTAGTATTGGCCCCCTGTTCTAATCTGAATGGGAATGACCGTTCTGACGGTGGACGCCTCGTCACCATCGATGGTCAGCATGGCGTAGTTCTCCAGAGCATGGAGATAGACGTTGTGCCACTGGCCGTCGTTGAGCCCCGAACCTGAACAGTGACCACAGACAGAACAATATGGCTTCATTAATCACAGTCACGGTGGGTGAAAAGCAGACAACTGCAGTTACTGAAACATCAGAAAAACAAATTCAGAGAAAGACTGTAATAATAATAAGCCATTTAGCAGACGCTTTTATCCCAAGCGACTTACAGTCATGTGTGCATACATTTTTACGTATGGGTGGTCCCGGGGATCGAACCCACTACCCTGGCGTTACAAGCACCATGCTCTACCAATTGAGCTACAGAGGACCACTATGATATACAGATCCGTTTGGCATTACCTCTCTTTACTAAAATATGCCTCTTAAATATGAAACAACTTGACTCTAAAGTTAAGAAATAACTGAAATGTTATGTTGGCAACTGCATGTTATGGAAAATACTAGATTGAGAAATGGAGACAAACAAACACAACGAAACAACGCGACCATGGACCAAGTAGCTGCCGACTCGACTAAAGTGAGTTTAGAGTCACTACTAACAGAAATTCGCACTGGCAATGAGAAACTGACTAAGCATATGAAGAAAATATCAGATGATGTCAAAAAAATCAAAACTGACATGACTGAACTGGGAAAACGTGTGGAGGAGGCTGAAACTGGCTTAACCCTTAAAATCGCACGAGAAAATCGGAATGGAACAATTCCTGGAAAAGGTAATACCACAACTACTGGGTCAGGAGAACTTCACACGGCTCCCACAATGGAACGAGCACATCGAACAGGCGGCCCAAGAGGGGATATGAGCAGCAAACCAAGGGGAATCATCGCAAAGTTTCTTAACTATAGGGACAAAGCGCTTGTAATGCCAAGGTAGTGGGTTCGATCCTTTAGTGGTCCACCCATACACAAAAAAAATTATGCACGCATGACTGTAAGTCGCTTTGGATAAAAGCGTCTGCTAAATGGCATATTATTTATTATATTATAAGAAAGTTATACGACTGGCCATCAAAGTCAAAAAGTCAGGATTCGGACGTTTGATGTATGAGGGCCTTCGATCTACATGAAACAGAGATAATTCGACCCCATAAAGAAAAAGCTTTGGGAAAAATGAATCCCGTTCTCTCTGGTATAGGCCTACCCCGCAAAACTACGTGTCCAATGGAAGGAAAGAGACATCACACTGAAATCAGCATAAGAAGCTACCTGATTCCTGGATAACCTGGACAAGGATATGGCAGTGAATTAACTGTATAGACTAGGACAGCCTCTTAACAGATGATGTACGACAGATGGGGAACTGGACTATGTTTAGGCAACTGAAATGAGGTGAAGATGGACTATTACACCCAACCACATCAAAGACACAACAGAGAAAGGTATATGTTGTTAATGCATTCACTTGCACGCCTATTAAAAAAACAATCACAGCACCACTCAAGCGATCTGTCTAAATGAAGAACATTATGCAGGCCAAATGGCAACCCATTCATTGGTAGGCTATAGCCATGATCTATTTGTTTAAGTAACAAATCATAAAGGCTGAGTAGATGGGAAGAATTGAAATGGCCCAATATGAAAAAAGACTGGGAGAGATAAAATGTTACAGAGCCTAAGATGCTGAAATTGTAAGCACACTGTACTTTTATTTCCGTTGCTCTCTCTCTTTTCCTTTATTTTTATTATTTTATTTACTTTTGCCCAAATAAGGCATGATAACGGAGAAATGTATATATGAATGGAAAGATATGTGTTACCAATGTGGGCAACATGATATCATCACGTGTTGATTATATTTTATGTTTATTCTCCCATAGAAAGTACAAGGAATAATGTTAATTAATTGGTTGAACGAATGTTAAAGAAACATGGGCAACTGCCGAGTTTCTAAAAGAGAGAAACAAATAGGCAGGCTATGTGCACGAAGCCCACAATTATGCACCTTCAATTATTATTTCCAGCTCTTTGTTGGACAATTATATTGAAATTGATTTATTAACTTAATCCCAAGGTGGAATGTAAAATACATTTAGCTAGGCCAACTGAACATGTAGTCGATAAACTCTGAAAAATCAAGTGAATAAATGGATGCACTCGCTTTGGCTCCACCGGTGCCCAGAGCGGACGGAGTTAGAAGAGTTAGAAGTAGTTATAAACTGGGTGGTTTGAGCCCTAAATGCTAATTGGCTGACACCCGTGGTATATCAGACCGTATACCACCGGTATGACAAAACATGTATTTTTACTGCTCTAATTATGTTGGTAACCAGTTTATAATAGCAATAAGGCACCTTGGGGGTTTGTAGTATATGGCCAATATACCACGCTAAGGGCTGTCGCCAGGCACTCCGCCTTGTGGAACAGCCCTCATACCACACCCCCTCTGGCCTTATTGCTTAATTATACCACCCCGCTTTTAGTGATCCACCTGCTCTGTCCCCTGGTGGGTCAAGACCAGTGCACCCCACATGTGGTTGCGTGCAGTACAACGGAACTGTAGGTTACTCCAGTGGTTATAGGCCTGCATCGGTTTGCATTTATTTAATAGGAGAATTATATGGAGAGTTGAACGAATTCTCTCTTTAATATACTATAATGATGCCTAATCCCTAAATAACCGAATTCATTTTATTTTCAATTAACACAGTGATGGCAAGTGTTTTAACGTTGTTTTTCTCTTGTTATTGACCCTGAGAGGGCAAATGTATTCCTTTCCTTGACAAAAAAAAAGAAAAGAGGCTGGCCAGGACAAATGATCAATGTATACTTTAAAGTGTCTTATCTGTCTCAGAAGGCAGAACCAGCCCTAGACAGGACTCTTTAATAATAATTACTATATTTACTTCACAAACACTAATTATACTAGTTGACTGCACATATCATGGACACATACTGACATTCACTCCGCAGCGGTTGGGAATGGGTATGGAAGCTGAACACTCTGCAACCCAGACCTCTGTACTGTCATAGATAACAAAATTTGACAATAATAATAATACATTGTAAAAATTTACAAATACATTTTTCATTTAGTCCTGGTTGGGCAATTGGATTTAGCAATGGAATCATAAGTCGTATTATATAAAGTATATATATACAAAACATTAAGAACACCTTCCTAATATTGAGTTGCAAAGTACAGGACAGATTCACGTGGGAAGTATTTAAGGGAAAAGGGGAGGGATTTATTTATTTCTTAATTTTTTTGTCTTGTTATTGGTTTTGTTTTTTTGTGAGAGGGGTATTGGAGGAAAACTGGAGGTCTTAGAGTTAGTATGGATAAGTATTTAAAAATGGACCATAAAGGCAATCATACTACCAACTATCACCCTCTGGCACTCAAAGAGATTACAATATTATAAACCCCGGGGATCTCGTAAAATATACTTGGAGTTGGCTTAATCAAGCTAGTCTGATTTATTATGTTCTGGTATCCTTTTCTATGGTGCCAAAAGTGAAAGAAGTATGGATTAAGGATCGAATATGATCAGACCATCATCTTATAGCCCTTCATGTAACTATAACAGACTTTCCATGAGGGCAGGGATATTGGACATTTAACCAGGGTTTATTGACTGACACTACATTCTTAATAAAAACAAAGGAATTTATAGCAAACTTTTTTCTTGCACAATACAGGTTCAGTGGACCCACTTATCGTATGGGATGCCTTTAAGTATGTCTTTAGAGACCATTAAATTCCATTTTCATCCCAAAATCAAAAATGGTTTCTGTCAACCGAGAAATGACTTACATCAGAAATAGAAAATCTAGCATTACACATCAATGGTGTAGATAAATGTAACACAGAAGCACGGAATAATCTAGACGCAAAACAAAAGGAGTTTGACTAACTTATTCAGGAAAGATCGGGTTTCATTTATCTAAAAACCAGAGTAAATTGGATGGAGAATGGCGAAAAAGTGTTTTTCTAACTATTAAATGTATAAACACGACCAAGAATAACCTACAAAACGATACGTTTTGTGATATCCTTCTCCCAAAAAATTATGTTAAACTATCTGGGATACAAAAAAATATTGTAAAGTCCTAATTACACAACGAACTATGGTTAGCAAATTCATTATTTTCAGATGGGGGAAAACCCCTGGTCTCGATGGCATTCCAATAGAGATATAGCAAACTTTTTATGAACTACTGAAAGATCCATTACTATCATGTTTTACCCATATTTATTTGTACTATTTCTTACATTATAGAATAATAGTGAAGACATCAAAACTATGAAAAACACATATGGAATCATGTAGTAACCAAAACATTGTTCAACAAAAAAATATATATATATATTTGAGATTCTTCAAATAGCCACCCTTTGCATTGATGACAGCTTTGCACACTCTTGGCATTCTCTCAACCAGCTTCATGAGGTAGTCACCTGGAATGCATTTCAATTAACAAAGCAAAGCACCCCCACACCATAACACCTCCTCCTCCATGCTTTACGGTGGGAACTACACATGCGGAGATCATCCGTTCACATCGCGTCTCACAAAGACACGGCGGTTGGAACCAAAAATCTCAAATTTGGACTCCAGACCAAAGAACACATTTCCACCAGTCTAATGTCCATTGCTCATGTTTCTTGGCCCAAGCAGGTCTCTTCTTCTTATTGGTGTCCTTTAGTAGTGGTTTCTTTGCAGCAATTCGACCATGAAGGGCTGATTCATACAGTCCCCTCTGAACAGTTGATGTTGAGATGTGTCTGTGAGTTGAACTCTGTGAAGCATTTATTTGGGCTGCAATTTCTGAGGCTGGTACCTCTAATGAACTTATCCTCTGCAGCAGAGGTAACTCTGGGTCTTCCATTCCTGTGGTGGTCCTCATGAGAGCCAGTTTCATCATAGTGCTTGATGGTTTTTGCGACTGCACTTGAAGAAACGTTCAAAGTTCTTGAAATTTTCCGGATTGACTGACCTTCATGTCTTAAAAGTAATGAAAGACTGTCGTTTCTCTTTGCTTATTTGAGCTGTTCTTGCCATAATATGGACTTGGTATTTTACCAAATATGGCTATCTTCTG